GTCAACATTTTAGCCAAAAAGCCACTACACAAAAGTCAACTCTTCTCTCTACTTTTGGTGCCAGAGTCTCACTAAATATTTTATCATCTTATGTGTTGCTGGTACCTTGAACATTCAAACAACTACTTTGTTTTCTGTTCTCTGTAGAAGATTGAGCCAGGTAGGCAACTAGAAGCATTTTCGATTCAGCTTGTAATTCTTGCAATATGGAAGCAAGCTCTTCACATTTGCCATACCCAAGCTGCGTCAGCTATTGAAGGAAGCCCATCACGAGAGATGGCCAGATTGAGGGAGAGCACTATCCAGGAGCATGGGAGTCCTGATATTGCCAACACTCAAGGACCTCAGGATATTTGCTCTCAGATTGAGAGGGAATTTCTTCTTGAAGTTGGGAATGCTGAGGAACTTGCCAAGGTTATTGCGCCTGGTATGGCTTTTAAGTCTTGATGTTACCAACTGGTTGAAAGGCATCCTTGCTTTTTTGTTCATTTGTCCTTATCGATACTATGATGGTGATATAGAAATCAGTGCATGTGTACTTGTATCCTTTTGAATCATACTGTATATATATATATATATATTTTTTTTGTTGTAGTCATCTTTTTTAACTCATTTAAGAGCTTTGACAAGCTTGTTTTTTTTTTTTCCGTGTATTGTAAACTAATATTTCTTATAAACTTCAGTCATGCAAAATTAAAGCACGGAATAACACTAGAAGATAAAAGTAATTTTATTTATGTGGGAGTTACTTTCTTATGTCCAATTATTCATTCTATGCCTAAGAACTTTTCTTATCTAGGACTAGTTCTTGTTTGTTTCCTTTTATATATGATGGGCATCTGTTGAATACTACATATCAAGTCACTATCATCAATCAACAGTATACTAATACAAACTTGAAAGACTGAGGCCGATTTTGGGAAGTCAACATTTTAGCCAAAAAGCCACTACACAAAAGGCAACTTTTCTCTCTACTTTTGGTGCCAGAGTCTCACTAAATATTTTATCATCTTATGTGTTGCTGGTACCTCGAACATTCAAACAACTACTTTGTTTTCTGTTCTCTGTAGAAGATTGAGCCGGGTAGGCAACTAGAAGCATTTTCGATTCAGCTTGTAATTCTTGCAATATGGAAGCAAGCTCTTCACATTTGCCATACCCAAGCTGCGTCAGCTATTGAAGGAAGCCCATCACGAGAGATGGCCAGATTGAGGGAGAGCACTAACCAGGAGCATGGGAGTCCTGATATTGCCAACACTCAAGGACCTCAGGATATTTGCTTTCAGATTGAGAGGGAATTTCTTCTCGAAGTTGGGAATGCTGAGGAACTTGCCAAGGTTATTGCGGCTGGTATGTCTTTTAAGTCTTGATGTTACCAACTGGTTGAAAGGCTTCCTTGCTTTTTTGTTCATTTGTCCTTATCGATACTATGATGGTGATATAGAAATCAGTGCACGTGTACTTGTATCCTTTTGAATCATACTGTATATATATATATATTTTGTTGTAGTCATCTTTTTTAACTCATTTAAGAGCTTTGACCAACTTGTTTTTCTTTCGTGTATTGTAAACTAATATTTCTTATAAACTTCAGTCATGCAAAATTAAAGCACAGAATAACACTAGAAGATTAAAGTAATTTTATTTATGTGGGAGTTACTTTCTTTTGCTTCTGGTTGAGTTGAAGTGTTACATGCCAAACATAAAGGAGCTCTTTGTTTGATCCTTTATAACAGCATATTTTGTATCCTTTTTGTAATTTTTATGTAGATACTTATACTAGTTATTTTTGTGATGATAATAGGAAATACAGAGATGCCAGATGCTATGGAGACAATCTATCAATCTGCTCTTGCTTTGGGCAGGCGTGGCGCTGTAAGTAATTTTACATCTTGGACTTACAATGGAAAATTCTTTTTGTTTGTTTGTTTCTTTTTAGTGTTTTTGCCTTCAATCTTTTGTTGTTTCTGTCGACAGAACGCATATAAAATACATAGTTTAATATGTATAAATGTTACTTTGAATGAACCAGCAACACCATTGAGAACTGATGTCTTTGGCAGGTAGATGAGTACATGGGTGATACGGAAAATGCAGCCGTTTATTATTCAAAAGCAGTGCGGTTGTTAGTCTTCCTTCTCGTCGAAGCACCTTCACTCATTCTCAATCCTCCCTTCTGTCTCACTGAATCAGACCGCTATAGACTCCGAAATTACATTGATGCCCTTAATAATAGGCAAAGTCATTCAAGGTCTCAAAGGATGGCTCTTCTTAAGTCTGACGGTCAACAATGCCCACCTTAATTCATGATTTCAACTTGTAATACCACAATCCCGATGTTAGAGCCCTGCTTCACTGTGTATAATAATTTGTTTGTACAGCTATTCTTTTGATTGACTCTGGGGTGTAGATGATGATGTTAGTATATGTTAAACATTCTCATTTCTGTAATTTACAGATGGGTAAAAATGTTCATTTTTTATTTTTTATTTTCTCCTCACATTCCAGTGTGCTTTCTTTTGAGGTTTTGTTGCGGTGGATATATCACAAAAAAATACATCTTAATACAAAGTTGAGTTGTTGAACCTGGCTTCTAAATTTAAATTTTTATTTCGTTAAATTTAAAAATCTTTGAACTCTCAAATTCTCATATGAGCTGGTTGGGGTACTGCCTAGAATTTTTTTTTTTTTAATTTTAATTATTGTGATTGAGTGTGATCTTATCCACCGAATCATGCATTTACTCAATCAATGGCTGCGATTTCATTGATTGGATAGTTGTCTTGTCGATGGCTATATTCCGTGATGTTGACTGTGCTTTTGAATTATGCCTCATCATTACATCATCGACGCCATATGGGCACCAGAGCACATCACATCACTACCACCTAAGCATTCACATTTAGTGTAAATTTGATATTTTAGAAAGTTGGTAAAAAGTTGACTTTTTGATTTTTTTAATGATTTTTTTTAGTGAAAAATTGGGTTGTGTTTGAATAAAAAGCCGGCTTTTTTAATTAAAAAAGCTAAAAAGTTGATTTTTTTACTGGTGTTTTCAAAAGAGCTTGGATCATCAAAACACTACAGTAGGGTTTGGTTTATTTTTAGAACTTAATTTTGTTTTTAAATCATAAATTATATGAAATATATTAATCAAATATATTTTTAAATTACTTTTAAAATTTCTCTTTTGTCTTTTTTTTGGTTATTATTAATTAATTAATTTTTCTTTCTCATCTTTCTTTTCTTTTTTCACATTCTCTCACAACAATCAATCAAAAAAAAAAAAAAAATACTAAACATCTCAAAATTATTTTTAAAATTCAAAACCAAACAAATTTTATATTTTCAAAAAATGATTAAAAAACTCCACATTCAAATCATAATCCTAAAACTAAACCAAACGAACCTTCCATAACGCATACGCATATACCCGCATGTGCATACAATAACATTCTTATTTACAATCTCATATTCAAATGAACATTTGATCTGATTTTCCATTAAATTTTTCACAACTCATATCTCTGATGTAAGAAAAACTTTAAAGAAGTTTGATATGAAAATAAAAATATTTTGATCAAAAAATTATCTCATTTGTTTTGAAAATTTCCAATGGGAGTAAAAGATCACAACCCAACCCACCAACAATCTGAAAGGACCTTTGATTTTTCTTTGAGGTTTTTATGTGAGGCGGCTTCAAATTTTCATTGGGTTATGTCGTTGGCCAATGATTAAAACAAACTTCCAATTTTTTTTTGATAGTGACATGATCACAAGCATGGTCCCATTATGGATTATCATAAAAGCAAGACACGCTTTGTTGACTTCTATCTTGTAATTATATGCTCAACATTAAGCAAAGTCTTCCCAATCCACCAAACTTCTCATTTAGAATTGTCACAAAGCAAGACACCCTTTGTTGACTTCTATCTATGACTCAATTTGGTAACAAGTTAAAAAAAAAAAAAAGTTAATTTTTGATTTTTTAATTTTTTTAATAAAAAAAATTAATATTTTTATTCAAAAGAAATCAATTTTTTATCAAAAAAATCACTAAAAAAAATTAAAAAGTCAAAAAATAAACTTTTTACTAACTTTTCAAAACACTCTTATATGCTCAACGAGTCTTCCCAATCCACCAAACTTTCTCGTTTATCCTAAAAAATCATGTAAGAGACATAGGTTTGTTTGGTACATATTCTTTTTTAATTTTTTAATTTTTTTATATCTTATTAATTAACAGAAATTATATCAAACACCTAAACACAATTACTTAAAATTTAAAAATAAACTGAAAATAGATTCTATAAATTATACTTAAAATTTAAAAATAGTCTGTAAATAGGTTCGATAAATTGCACCAAACAACTAATCAAATGGAATAGGGTCTATATGGTGATTTGTGTGGAGAATCTTAACTTGACTTTACAGCTTGAAAAACCTATTACAAATGTGTAAGGTATATGGAGTCAGAGAAAAAGTGTCAAATGGATGACTTTTGTGCCGAAGCCACTTGTGTGGTCACATGAACTAATTTCAAATATCGTTTTTATAATTTGGGCCATTTATTTTTTTAAAATATAAAAAGTATATTATACTTTTATAATATCGAATTAATTGAATATCGTTAATCTTTTCATACATTTATATTTTTATTTAATTTTATAACTCTAGTGACATTTGCCATTTATTTTTTAGATACAAATATAATTTAATAAAATGGTTAACAATATCCGATTAATTTGATATTTTGTAAGTATATTTTACTTGATATATTTTAAAAAGTAAACAGTTCTAATTATCAAAATGAATCTTGAAATGAGTCATATAACTGCAGAACAGAGACGTTTATAAGGCAACAGTCACCATATTTCTGTCAATAATAGGAGTCCAAATAAAGCCATCTTAATCTTCAAAACATTCGCACCCAAACGATATCCAGTTTTCCTAGAATAACAAACATACGTTGCTTGTCTTGGACCTTGGTAGACCACTTCTCCCATTCTTCGAGAATAAATAATAGATACATACATTAGAAAAATATCTACAATAATTAAATTAAATATTAGAGTAAATTACACTACCCTTTTTGGAGATTTTAAAAAATAAAATATAATTATACTGATATTTTTTTTAGTAAAGTTAAAGAGACCATTACCAAAAAAAAAAAATAAAAAGATAAAAATAATACAGATGATATGAAAACACAAATATACACCAGTAAAATATATGTTTTAATGTAAAATAGATGATAACATTATTTTTTCATTTATATTACTAACAAATTTATAATGAAAATGGAATTAAATGTTTTATGAATTAAAACTTTAAGAAACTTAATATAATTATGTCAAACTTGTGAAATTTAATATATTTTTTTCAAACTTCAAGAGTGTAATTTATCCTAATAATTAGTATAAATATTTTTTGTGATTTAATTATATAATTTCTTTTAAGTTGAAAGTTAATTAAAACACGAGAGCTAAAAATACTCTAATTTTTAAAACACTTTTAACATAGATTCTCAAACAAAAAATAATAACTTACAAGCAGCTGAATGTTCTGTACCATCTACAAATCTCTGTATATTCTTCTGTATGAAAACTGTAAAAATCTTTAAGTACAATAATCTTAAAATGTAATACAATAATTATGAGTATTTTAAGATAGGATATGATGGAATTTACACTAAGTTTAAATCATGAGGTGAGGTGAGAAAAAAAAAATAATTATAATTTCTCACTTAGGCTAGAAAACAAAAGAAATATTTATGATTTTTCATCATTATATTTGGATTAATAAAAGAAAAAAAAATATGAGTCCTCACTAAATCTCATTACTTTTGGTGAGAAACGAAATGTAAATTTGGTGAGAATGCTTTTTTCACTATCTCTCATCATTTGTTACTATTTCTCACTTGATTAACCATCTAAACAAGTAAGGAAGTTTTCTATTCTCACAATTTTTATTTTTATTTTTATAATTTTTTTTGGTCCTTACCAAAATTATCGGTCAATTAATTAATGAACTCGTGCGAAGCCTGAAAGAAAAGAACCATTAAGCGTGTTGACAATGACATAATGGAGGTATATCAATCTGTTAAAACTTCCACATCAAATCCACAAACAAGTTTCTATAAGAACCAACAAAAATCTGCAGACAAAAAAGCTCTTGACATGGTTGAGAAATTTAGCTGAGTTTAATCCATATGTACATATTGCTCAACCAAAACCAAGTTCTTCAACCATGAAAAACCCAACTGGTTCTATCATTTTCTTGTTTCTCACAGTCTCTTTCTTGATTCCACACACAAATTCAAAGACTTTGAACCATTTGAAAAGAGGGTCTTCTCTGTCTGTTGAGGGTGATTCAGATGTCATTACCTCACCAGACAATTCATTCACTTGTGGGTTCTATAGCGTTGGTACCAATGCCTTTGGTTTTGGAATTTGGTTCACACAATCATCCAAAACAGTTGTTTGGATGGCTAACCGAGACAAACCCGTCAACGGCCTCGGCTCCAGCCTCTCTCTCCGGCGAGATGGAGCCATGGTTCTGACCGATGTCGATGGCTCGATGGCTTGGCAGACCAATACCAGCTCTACTGATGTTGATAGAGCAGAGCTTCTTGAGACAGGCAACCTTGTTTTGAAGAACTCAAGTGGTAACATTCTCTGGCAAAGCTTTGATTTTCCTACTGATACTCTTTTGCCTTTTCAAACATTTACCAAGAGCATGAAATTGATATCTGGGTTGAGAAATGGAAGTTTTGCTTCTGGGTATTTCAGTTTGTATTTTGATAATGATAATGTGTTGAGATTGATCTATGATGGGCCCGAGATATCGAGCTTGTATTGGCCTAATCCTGATTTGAATGTCTACCAAAATGGAAGAACAAACTATAACAGTAGTAGAATTGCTGTTTTGGATGATATGGGTGTGTTTTTGTCAAGTGATAGGTTGCAATTTAGTGCTTCTGATATGGGTTTTGGGGTCAAAAGGAGGCTTACTATGGATTATGATGGCAATTTGAGGCTTTATAGCTTCAATAATTTGACAGGAGTGTGGCTAGTTTCATGGGAGGCTCTTACACAACCTTGCAATGTGCATGGTTTATGTGGTAGGAATGGTGTTTGTGTTTATGCCCCAGAGCCAAAGTGTTCATGCCCTCCTGGTTATGAAGTCAGTGATCCAAGTGATTGGAATCAAGGTTGCAAGCCTAAGTTCAATTTGTCTTGTTCAAATTCTCGGCGGATGAAATTTGTGGAGCTTCCGTATACAGATTATTATGGGTTTGATCTTAATTATAACCCATCAATTTCAATTCAAGGTTGCAGGAAACTCTGCTTGGACGATTGCCATTGCGAAGCATTTAGCTATAGGCTGACTGGGCAGGGGGTATGTTACACAAAAAGTGCCCTTTTCAACGGCTACCAGTCTCCAAGTTTCCCCGGCAAGATTTACTTAAAACTGCCCATGAATGTGGAAGCATCAGGA